AACTGGGCTGTGGTTTGTATGTCAGCTTGTGTGTGGCCAGCACACAAGCTGACATATAGCCTGGTTGATCACACCCTGATCCACCATGAGGTCTGGTCTCAGATTGAGCCGCGGGGGTGTTGACCCCGAAACCCTCTCCAGGTAACAGGCAAGCTCCAGGAGGAGAAAAAAAGTCACATTCTAGGGTATGTCATGAAATTTTTCTTGAATGTGTGGCATTTAAATTTTTTTATATTTTATTGCATTTTTTTTTTTTATACTGTTTTTTTTCTGAAGAATTCCTAATGTTTGAGAGCATTTGTAGAAATTGTCTTGGTTTTAAATTTGAATGTTTGGAAATGCATTCTAAGAACCCAATGGAGCAAAATTTTCCGGATTCAAGTTTTGTTAAATTACACTATAAATTTTCTAGTTTAATTAATACTAACCTGCATTTGTAGGTAAGGAGTAATAGAGGATTGAACATGACATGGTGATGGTCCTGCTTTCTAAGATAATTGATGCTTTGAGAAATTTTCCTTCAATGAGGAATTCAGCACATCAATTATAGTCTAAATTACTCACAAGTGTCCTGTTATTAACCTAGATCCCATGTAGCTAGGAGTAATGCAGGCAATCTAGAACTACATTTATAGCCTCTTCAACAGAAATTGTCGCTTTGAGCCTAATTAATCCCTTTCAACTGAGGATCAGGCACACACTTATAGCTACTTACTCACAAGTGCTCCTGTCCCATCCTCTCTCTCCCCATGTAGCTTGGAGTATGCAGGCAATCATAGAACACATTTAAATAGTTTGCCCACAAATTAGGCTTTCTGCATTCATTTTCATAATTATGGAGATAACTGTAGGATCACTGGGCACTAAAATTTTAGGATTCCTTTAATAATAATTCAATGGGATTTCTAACTAATTGATGCTGGCTATTTTTAAGTTAGTATTTATTTTCACTCTGTATTGTATCTATGTTCATAGTTTTTACTTTTAAATTTTATCTTTATTTTCATTTTTTTTTGTGTGTATTTATTTTGTATATATTACCGAGAGTACTGAATAACCTACACAAACCAAACACTCCTCAAATATCAGAACTACCATGTAGCAGCAACCTGTAACATTGATGCAGATGCTGATGTTAAGGGAGGAAATGCTGACATTGGCATACCATGTTAATTCAAGCCAAGAAAATGAGCAAGATTAATTACATGTATTTAAATACAAAGGTAAATTTTTCCCACCATGAGAGGATAAAGCAAAGAAGGAAAACATACTAACCATCACTTATTCTCGAAGAATTAAAAATTAAAAATTATGACAATTCTCATAACTATATGATAAAATAAAAGTGTACTTCTGAAGAAAATTCCAGATTTCCAAAATGCTGCTGTCAGTTCACGGAGGGTAAGTCGAACACCATGTCAGGTAGCAAAGTATCACTATAGGGTAAAGTAAAATCCATTGGAGTAGATTTCTATGAAAGTTTCTGCTGAAGATTGTTAGGGGACAAATGCAACTCATGGGGAAGACTATAATAATATTTATTTCTACAAAGTAAATGATGTAACTGATGCAGACTTGCATTTCAGGCAGGCTAAGTTAATCTTGTCCCCACCACATCTAGGTACCTACTACTAACTGCTGGGTGAACAGGGGCAATCGGTGTAAGGAAACATGCCCAGCATTTCACCAATGGTGGGGATCAATCCCAGACCCTCAATGTGTGAGTGGAGGATGCTACCATGTTACCTGTCTGCAACTATGTTACAGATAGGAGCAAAGTCAAGTAAGTTTGCCTAACTTTTGCTACTTTTGGGAAATAGATTTAATATTGGTCTGTGATGCTTCGCAACTTTTATGGATGGTTCTGGTTTATGTTTTGAGTATGGGAAAATTTTGAGAGAAATGTGATTGCATATTGGACAGAAGACTCAGACAGTTATAGTTTCTCCTGGAAAGGCACCCGGTGCTCCTTGGTGCAAGTAGTCAGGTTGTGCCAACAGTCTACATATTTTTATACATTATTCTGTTTATCAGATATGTGGATTTCATTTTCGTCTTCTGTCAAGCTTGTGCTGATTTTCCTTCTCTGAAAGTCCCACCTATGTAGATTTACTGACTTCTTAACTGGAACTGATTTACTGCACCCACTACAACTTCCTCCACATAAAATCTTGGATGGTGATTAGCCCACAGTGGTTTAGTGCTGTGAAAATAATATATTATAACTGTTGGTAAATTGTGAAACTATTTATTCAATCAAATGGACATTTTATTTATTCACATGTTAAGTATTGGGTTTTTGGTGGTTAGAAACAATACTGCTTAACCTAGGTAGCTGATGATGTCAGGTGAAGCTCGGGTATGTTTTTGTAGAAGATGGAAACTGAAGTTGTATCAATAGAACTCTCAGTACTGTATTACATTTAGCTCGATAAACATTAAGAGTTAAAACAGTATTTAATGAAGCTCCATTAAGCAACCTACAAAACCATTGTAATTGACACAGGTTTAACACATACGATGAAAGTAAACTGCATGACGGTGATTTCTCATACTAAAGCAAAGAGGATCTGACAAAGAAATAGAAAAATGAAAGCATAACAAGATACAGTAAAAAATATATGTTAAGTTATTTAAAAAAAAAAAAAAAAGAGGAGGAACTGGAAAGAGATAAAACCCCTGAAATTAGACTTAAACAATTTGTTTTAGACATGAAAACACACTGAGCTCTAACAAAAGAATGTTTATTTGAAAAAATGAAATGAGGGCAGAATTAGACTGTACCAATAGAACTACTGTTCATGATAAAAAAAAAATATACAAGACATTGCAATGCAGCAAATGGAGGCACTTGTGTAAAACCAAGACCAATGAGAGCTATGCAAGTGTAGTGAAGCAAAAGAAAGCACTAGAAATGACAACCTTGACTATTATGAATATTGAAAAAAAAAAAAAATGAGTACACAAGCTATTGAAGGAAGCTTGTCAGATATTTTTGATTGCATAAAAAAATGACTGTAATTCAGCAAGATTACAAAATGTATTAGAAATTTCAATATAAAACATTCTGTTGGATACAGACACACTGAAAAATGAGTGAAAGATTAGAGCAGGCTGACATGACTAACTTTCACTCAAATCATACATAAAGAACTGCTAAAAAATGTTAGAAATCTGATGAAACTGCAAGGCTGTATGTAGCATATAAATTAAGCCAAACCTCTCCAAGGAGAAAAAAAAATACAGTGGACCCCCGCATAACGATCACCTCCGAATGCGACCAATTATGTAAGTGTATTTATGTAAGTGCGTTTGTACGTGTATGTTTGGGGGTCTGAAATGGACTAATCTACTTCACAATATTCCTTATGGGAACAAATTCGGTCAGTACTGGCACCTGAACATACTTCTGGAGTGAAAAATTATCGTTAACTCGGGGGTCCACTGTACTGTACTGAACATTTTAATGGAAAACTTGGAGATTGATGTTTTTTGCAATATCATTCCTAACATAGTCACGTGAGACGGGCAAGGATAAAACCCACGGTAAGAGTCAAAACTCCAGACCAACGCATTAGCTACTGGGCCAGCTGGCATGATAGTGGCTTTCTTTGCTTCAGTCATATTATGATATGTAAACACACATTGTAACCTTAGCAAAGAAATAACTATTTTATTTTTTATTAATTAGGTATATTTATACACATGACACACATGTCAATGACATTCGGGTCATATATCCCAGAAGATCTAATATACAAGACCTCCATAAAATGACTACCAAATTCACTCATACCCAAAAACAAAGGCAAACTAGCTTTTTTTTTTTTTTGTTCTATGCAGATCACCCATCAGGTACACCTTTGAGTTTACAGAAAGCCTACAAATAAAGAAGACTCATTTGTAATCATACCATGACGATTGCACACTATGCAATCACTTGGTTTTTCTTAAGGGCTATCTGCATCATCAGTCCCAAATTCGTAGAATGAAGTACACTGCCTGTGCCTCCACATGTTTATATCCAGAGCCAAGGTTATGCTAAACTCCACCAGATCCTCATGGGCTTAGTGCTTAGTTTAGATTGTAATAATAATAATAATAATAATAATAATAATAACTAACAACAATGCCTTTACTAAGAAATCCAGATTCTTGATTCTACCTGAAGAAATGGCCAGCAACATCACACAGGTCATTTCTAGAGGTAACATTTGTGTAGCTGTCATGGTCACATCATCCATCAGAAACTTCACTGGGAAAAAAAGATCCCCATGACACTCCCAACAGTAAAAACAGGGTATACACTATACCATGTGGAGGATGCAACATGATCTATGCAAGAGAAATCTTTGTGCGTGTTCAAGCACAAAAATATGTTTTTAAGATTTATCATGCACAGATTGAAAAAGAGCTATCTCGTGCACTGGAACAATGCTGAAATAATGTAGAGAGAACCCACCAAGGATAGGTGTCACTGTACTGAAGCTGCCTAAATTGCTACTTCTAACACCACAGAACAAGGGGCTGGCAAGTTTACAGTACATCATCTCAACAACTCTAGCTCACATGGTATTGCTAATTGGCTGCCATGCAACACAGCATTTAGATGACCTGCTACCTTCATGACCAGTTATTACTTTCACTCTCCACTATATACAGTATACTGTGTGGTTTCATATTTTATCATTTGGAGTGGCTAAGGTTCCAAGACTGAAATATATCCATTAAAAGTGTATGCAAATGTCATTTCATCCCTACTGTTATTAGCAATCTTCTGCCTTCAGACATTTGTAGTTCTCCATAGGGATCATTGAGCACTTGGCTATGTGCATAATTATGAAAGGATGCTGTAGTTACACCTGAAACTTACAATACTGTAGTTAACACTATGATGTTATCCATAACAGTCTCATTCTTTTTATTGCAAGACTTTAATATTGTCACAAACAGGTTGGACCCAAGTTGCAGGTTGAGAATGGGATTCAATAAAACAATGATTATACTTTTATCTGACCAAAGCATATGGCATTAAAGTTTAATCTAAGTTTTCTCGTCAACTTTTTACATGCAACTGAGAACCTTGAACATGATGCACTTAATTTTAATGCTCTCATCAGAAAAAGTGGATACACTTGAAATAGAGGATAACCATGCAAAAATAACACTTAAAAGTAGCTTTGGTCTGATTATGTTTTGCAACATAATTTTACAACATACTTTTATTAAAGCAAATGGGTTTAACAAATTCTAATAGGAGCACTTGCCCATTATTATTTCAACTCTTATTAGAAAGGCAAAGAGTATATAGTATTTACAAATATGCTGTTCAATAATTTTCCTTTACAAGAGCCAGCCAGCCATTAAAGCTAGATAAAAATCTTGCTATGTCTGAAGTACCTATTTTATTAGTAATAAATTTTCTCATATTTAAGGATTATTGCACTGAAGACTAAATTCTTACTATCTGATTACAGTTTTCTTTATTTTATTTTGAACCTGACGGCAACTCTGTCGAAAGTCTCTCTTCCAGGCAGAAATCAAACTGGATCTTCCCCTATTTCCATCAGAAACATCATTGCCCAGCATCCTCTCCTTGCAGTGTGTGCTGTTCCTCCTGTTTCTTCGGCCACACTCGTTTCCATCCCGGCCTGCATCTGATTCCTCCTCATCAGTGAAAAGTATGGAACACTAAGAATGGGTAGGAACAATGTATTTTGTTAGATACATAAAATAGTATAACATTAGGTTCAAGCAAGACTGAATTATTCCCTTTGAATAAAGTGAGATATTGTTAGAATACTGAACTACAATACAATACTTATTACAGTAGGGTACTGAAAAGATGGAACATAACTCAGATGATCTGAAAACTCACTTTGATACTCTGGAAATTAAAAAAAAAATAAGGGGGAAAAAACAGCCTCAGGATAGTATTACTTTAAATTTAATTACAAATACAGTAGTCTCTCGTGTAGCATGAATGAAATGTTTGTTTCCAGGTACATATTGAACAAAAAGAAACTGTTACAGTACATACTTTGTAAAGGTACACATTTGTTTACATTGAATGCCAAATCGTTTGAAGACACTGTGGGATATTTACCCTTTGCACCACAATTAGCCTATGGCCAAATAATTTTTTTTTTAGGTGATGTAGAAAACAGACTCCTACAATAGTTGCCTTGTGGATGTGTACCATCAGTCCTAGTTACTTTACCCCTGTTCATTCTTCCCATTCCTTTGTGCACCTCCCCCCACTCACATCTGGCTCTTCATCACTCCAAAAAGATGTTACACCTCCCTGCCCAATGCAAAAAAATCAGTCTCCCTCTCTTCAACAACATTTAGCAGCTCAAAATGTTTCCTCCATCTTCCCCATCTAATAACTCCCTTCTTTTGTTAACTGTTAAAATCCATTCATTCCCTAGGCTTTCTCAACTATTAATCTCACTCCAGGACTTGCTCTCTTTTTAGACTCCTTCACCTTCCTTATACTGCTTCTGTTCCATAAAAACCTTTCATGTGCTTTTTCTCCCATTCTTTACTTTGTCATTTCATTAATGGTCCTCTTACCTTTTACACCCACCCTAATATATCCACAAACTTCTGCTGCACACACACTAACATTGCATTCTTAAATCTACACCATATCTCTTTGACCTCATTGCCTATTTTCTCTCTAGCCCAGCTTTCTCCCAACAGTTGCTGATATCTGACCCTAACTAACTCCTTTGATTTATAGACTTTCACTTCTCTATTACTCTCTGATGACATTCTTGTACATCTACCTCTCTCACTTTAGCTATGACTAAGTAATATGACATATCTGTTGTTCCTCTAAAACATGCACACCCATAAGTTTACCCATCAACCTTTTATTTACTAATACATAATCTTAAGCTGCTGTCATTATGCCCTACATCATATACTTAACCTATTATTCTTTAACCCTTTCAGGGTCCAAGGCAAAAATCTGAAGTGGTGCCCCAGTGTCCAAGAATTTAAAAAAAAAAAAAAATTTTTTTTTCTTATGAAATGGTAGAGAATCTTTTTGTGAATGTAATAAAACAAAAAGTACGAAATTTGATGTGTCAGCGATTTTGCCAACTTTGACTCCCATTTTAGGCCAATTACTTATTTCCAGTCGACCAAATTCTTAGCAATTTCACTAGTATGGTGGCCCGGTGGCCTGGTGGCTAAAGCTCCCGCTTCACACACGGAGGGCCCGGGTTCGATTCCCGGCAGGTGGAAACATTCGACACGTTTCCTTACACCTGTTGTCCTGTTCACCTAGCAGCAAATAGGTACCTGGGTGTTAGTCGACTGGTGTGGGTCGCATCCTGGGGGACAAGATTAAGGACCCCAATGGAAATAAGTTAGACAGTCCTCGATGACGCACTGACTTTCTTGGGTTATCCTGGGTGGCTAACCCTCCGGGGTTAAAAATCCGAACGAAATCTCTCTCTCTCTATTCTATCGATTGAGCACAAGAAATCGCCAAGTCAACTGTTTCAACTACAAAATAAAGTGACCGGAAATTGGTAATTTGGCCAATTTAACACAAAGCTCAAAATATTCCAATTTCAAAATAGGGTCCAGAATAAACAATGTAGGTATTCCTGGCACTAAACTAACATTTCCTCTGTTCATTAGTTATGTTTTGAGGCTTTACAAATAAATTCCATTTTGATTTTTTATTCACAATGAATTTTTATTCACACCAAAAAATAGAAGATTTACTGTTATGCAATATTGTAATAATTGTATAAATATCATCACCACATTTGTGAATGTATATTAGATCCACCAGCTGGCGTGTATTAGACGTGTGGGTCTTTTGTTTACTCTTGAACATCAGCAAAAATTTAACATTTCTGCCACTTTGAGCTTGGTTTCAAGCCATTTCCAGTGCTAAAACCAATCAAAATTATCTCTATTTCTGCAATATGTCTTCCATTTTATCAAATGAGACCAAGAAATCACAAATACAACTATAAAAAAACATACAAAAAAAACACTGCAAAGTCGCTGTTATAATCGAAAATCACTGTCTCAGTTTTTTTTCTCTCATTATACACAGTGTGCTGCAGGATTTGTTTTATGTGGTGCACACATACCACATAGATGTATTCTCTCGTATCTAGGCCCAGATTTACAACTCACAGTTTATCAGAGTGAGCTGAGCTCATGATGTAGATCTACGATTTGGACCCTGAAAGGGTTAAATATGTACAGTATTACCAAACCTCTTTACAAAGCTCAATTAAAAGCCCTCATTATCATTTACCTCTGGTACCCTAAACTTGCCTACTACACCTATAACAATTCCTCCCACTTCAGCATTTATGGTAGGTCCCCACAACAACTGCATTCTCACTTGGTTCAAAACTCCCTAAACATCATAAAACCGTAGCCCCCACACTTGTTAAACACCTCGGGTAAATTGTCACACAACTCCAGGTAATTATACTGGTTCACATACAGTGGACCTTCAGTTATCGGCTGGTTATCGGCCATATGGGATGTGTCAACCCGCCTCCTGCATTCGTGAGTCAGTCTAGCTGTGTCTCTGGGCGAGTGAGGACACTTCTGCTCATTCATCCAAACATCAAGGAACCTAATGTTGTGAAAGGGTGTTTAGCATGGAGGCAGTACCCCAGTGGAAACATGTCACTCTGACTTTTTTGGGTTATCCTAGGTTCTTTACACATATGCTGTTTAAGGGAGGCAGGGAAGTAAGCCCAGAGAGGGCTTCAATACCTGAAGTCCTTATGGAGGGGGATTCCCCTTGCAAACAATAATCAGTCCTCCCTCTCCCTGTCTTCCATAAGCCAACAAGAGTCTTCAGTACAGGTATGTAATAGTGATTTAAATGTTCATTTATTTATTTTATTTAGTTCTCATTGTTTTGTGTATGTAAAACTAAATCTTTAAAAAACGTATTTTTTTTTTTTATATTTTTGGGTGACTGGAATGGATTAATTGTATTTATGTTAATCCTTATGGGAAATATTATTTCAGTTTTAAGTCATTTTGGTTTTAGGCCGCCCTTCTGGAACGGATTACAGCCGATAACCAAGGGTCCACTGTACTGGTTTTTGGGAAGCACCATGAATTTACCAACACTTTGAGCACTGAAACACCCCCAAACCATGAGCGAGTCTGGGTGTTTGGTGGTGTCCCGCAAGTGTAGCGTGGGTCTAGTGGGTCACTACCTTTGGGCCGGTACACGTCCCCCACAGTTACAGGTGACAGTGAAGGTTGCTTCATCACTCCAGAGTACTTCAGACCACTGTTGAGGATTTCAGTGAAGCTATTTCTTTGCATAATCCAGCCTACATTTCCTTTGTGGCTTGGAGAGGATCGGTTTCTTAACCTGGCAGTGGCTACTGTAGCCCAGTTCTGACACACATTTGCTAACAGTTCTTACAGACACCTCAGAGAAGATGTGGGTTCTTTTCTTTCAATTCTCTAGCAGTTATCTTAGGTGTACTCTCTAATTGCTTCTTTAACACAGTTAAGGTACGAACAGATGTCTTCTTCGAGGGGCCAGGCCGAGGTTTGGCAGACAGTAACTCGACACCGCCACCAGCCTTGAAATGCTGCACCCAGTTCCTCACTGAACGCTCACACACACCAACATTCTCCACCATTTCTTTCATCTGGTGCCCAGCTTTGTGAAGCCCTATAATTTCAGGTGTTAAAGACTTCCTTTTACCCATAATCAAACATGTATAGCTCCAAAACCAAAGGGATCACTGGACAAAAGATGGGGTGGACGAGAAAAAAAAGTGCAACACTTCCTCTCACCATGGCAGCCACGTAAGCACTGTGGAATGTGGCGGCAGGCTGTGACCCGGCATAATGCCGTGACAAGCACTGTAGTATCTGAGGAACAGGAGGCAGTCAACTTAGGTCCAAGAAAAATGATGGCTCCAATTACTTTGCTCAAGAACCCTTTACCGACATCATGTCCAGCTATCTATAAGTTGTTGTGACTGATTTTTTAATAAAAATTTACCTGTTGCACCAATTTTAAATTTTATTCTTGCACTATCCCCTACCCTTGCACACCCCTGCCCCCCCACTCCTATCTTTGCACAGTCCTACTTTTGTACATTCCTCTCTGCAGCATAGTACAACCCTTGTGGGTTTAACACTTACCTTGATTATAACAATAACAATACAAGTTGTAAATATTAAGAAAATCTGACAAGGGACAAACCATATAATGAAGCTCTCTCTGGTGGTCTTGAGTGAAAGATCCTTTAGTGTGGGTGAAAGGTGTTGCATATATTGGTTCATCTCCACGCCTAGATCCCTGGTGGAAAAAATGTACAGTTAAACATAGAATAATTGTAAATTTACTTTGCATATTAATATACAAAACATTTAGAAACTAAGCTTGGGGAATGAAAATTTTAGTTTTTTAAAATATTATGATTAAGTTAAAACTGGAAGTTATACTAAAAGTGAAAAGCTCACACAGGTTCAATAATAATACTCAAATCACTGGTTTCACTAATTCATCTCCCACCAATGGTCAATAACACTGTTGTCATCAATATTATACACACTATATCAAACTCTTGATTTCTTTAATATATTGTTCAAACCTTTAATATTGTCCACACATGGCCAATAGTACAGTACTATCAAATATTACTCAATATTACTGAAAGTGTATGGCCAGGTTAAGTTCAATAAAACTATGCATCATAATTTGCATATCAAACTGGACTGACAGCAAAGATGATAACTGAAAATATATTGCCAAAGAAATTTGAAAATGGGGCCATTTATTAATCAATGCATGAAAGGTGCAACAATAATGACAACAACAACAGGTCATCATGGATTTGGCATTCACAAGAAAAACGAGTGAACTGTACCAATGGAAATAACATTCACAAAAATGACACAGTACAATAAATTGTAAACATTCTGGACAATGTATGCATGAACTGAAATAAACTATTATCAATGAAAATAGGCAAGAATATGGAGGTGGAAGACATGTACAGTGGACCCCCGCATAACGATCACCTCCGAATGCGACCAATTATGTAAGTGCGTTTGTACGTGTATGTTTGGGGGTCTGAAATGGACTAATCTACTTCACAATATTCCTTATGGGAACAAATTCGGTCAGTACTGGCACCTGAACATACTTCTGGAGTGAAAAAATATCGTTAACCGGGGGTCCACTGTATAACCAAGGCAGTGTTTAAGAGAAACATGACGATAGAAATTTCATGACGAGCAAATATTTGTCAACTTCTAAACCACAACATACTGTACATAAGAGCTATAAAACTATCCAGTATGAGAGACTGAATAAGAGATGCTGGAAAGCAATGAAAAAGGATATGAGATTTAACATGTCTTAAACATGCCAGAAATTAATAAACTAATTACAATCAGGAAAGAGGAAATCAGTTTAATAAATGGAGAGCAATTCTGAATTAAACATACTGTTTTAGTTCATATAAAGCAACCCTTTCTTTGACTGCTCTATTCTTGGAAAGTTCCACCTTTAGTGCAGCCTCTCTTCATTTCTTGGATGAAATTAGTTTTTAAATGGCTTTCTCTTTTGAACATGTCTCTCTCTGCTATTTTGAACTGTATGACTCGTAATAAGACAGTTCTGGGGGCCCTAGGGCAAGCAACTTGTAGGGGCCCCCCAATATATGTTACAAATGGGTGTTCCAGGGTAAGCAACTTGTGGGGGGAGTGCACCTAGGGCAAGTAATTTGTGGCGAGGCTCCTGCCACTAAAACTTCATTGTCAAATTACACACTGGTATTATAAAACTTGTTAACCAATATTGCAGTTTTTCCCCACAAATTTAAATAAACTATTTTTTAGAGAATTCGTATTTTTTGTGCACAGACTGTAGACCCCTGTCTTGTAGGGGAGGAGAGGCTCGTTTGTGTGGGGGCCCTCCACCATTTAATAGTACACTGCCCATTCATGTTTTATGCTTTCTTGTGAAAATAATTCTAGCAGGCTATGGTACTTTAGCAAAAGACTTGGCAGGAGATGCAACATCCCCGCAATGGGGTGCCACAAGTACACTAAGAGACAACACAGTAAGTGTCGGGGGCCCAAGACTGTTCAGCTGCCTCCCAGCATACATAAAGGGGATTACCAATAGACCCCTGGCTGTTTTCAAGAAGTACGTAGTAGTAAATTTGCCGGTGTTGTCCTGGCCTGGGTCTTTTCCAGATGGTGACCCAGCCAGAAAGGCACCTAAAGTCAGTACAGTACCTGATCAGCCGGCTGTGGCTCGTAAGTCGATTTGTGTGCGGCCAGTAGTAACAGCCTGGTTGATCAGAGATCCACCATGAAGCCTGGTCAGAGACCAGATGTGGGGAAGTTGACCCCCGAAACCATCTCCAGATAGTGTGAGCAACTTGCCAAAATGTCATACATGTTCTGAATACTGGCTGATCTCTGCTCCAGGAGATGAGACATGTCAATACTATTACATGTATTATGCAAATGGAGAAAGCAAATGTATAACATAACAATCATGGGGAAATAAATCCAAAGGAGTCATACAGCACCTGGGGGAGAAAAAGGAGACATTCAGGTTCGATCCAAGGAATAGGGCCCAAATGGTCTTGGAGTCCCTTTCAATATGAATTCAAATATCTATAGTATTCTCACATCATAGCAATGATGATTTAAAGGTACAAAATGTAGATGTAAGCAATTCGCTAGAGGATTACTCCCAGCACGGGTCTTCTCCAAATGGCGATTAGTCTCTTGGTTTTCCAGCGAGTGTCCCATCAGGGTACAAGTAAGCAGTCTTAATACAGTGGACCCCCGGTTAACGATATTTTTTCACTCCAGAAGTATGTTCAGGTGCCAGTACTGACCGAATTTGTTCCCATAAGAAATATTGTGAAGTAGATTAGTCCATTTCAGACCCCCAAACATACACATACAAAAGCACTTACATAAATACACTTACATAATTGGTCACATTCGGAGGTAATCGTTATGCGGGGGTCCACTGTACTGCCTTGGGGTGCTGTGCTAAGCACTAGCAGGGGCCCAGAGTGTTGCAGTTGGTGAGGAGCATCATCATTGGTAGGACTCTGGGTGGCTGTTTAAGCTTTGACATAAGCAGCCCTTTGGCAGGGTCCGGTGGTAAACAACGGGGCTTAGGCATAGTATTTGGGCCACAGGCGGGTCAGGCAGGCTAACCCCACCCCAATGGGGGTCGAAGGGCACCATTCTGATGGGCCTCTGGTTCATCAGAATGGGAGTTGGTATTTGCAGCCCAACACAAAAAATTACATGCCCCTATGCCCCTTTGAAAGCCACACCCCCACCTTCTGGCTGCAGCCTGAGTGTTGGAAAAGCTCGGGAGATCCCGAGCATATTGACCCCAATGAGAGAATGTTTTTCAGTGACATGATCTTTGATAATTAAAATTTTCAATTGTACGTTAAAAAATGTGTTGCTTGTTTATTATTCGACAAGCTGCACGAGCTGAAGAGATAGACTAAAACTTGAAATTTGAAAAGCACTGTTGACTATAAAGTCAACACCCACCACGAGGCCTGGTCACAGACCGGGCCACGGGGGCATTGACCCCCCGGAACTCTCTCTAGGTATACTACCGCAGACATGTGACACAAGTAGGTAATGACTAACACATTGAACACCCCTAGTTTATGTGATCTTCATGTCATCACAAACTTAAGAGAATAAAGGCCACACAACCCTACATTAGGTTTATTATTGCACTGGCTCATCACAAAAAGCCCTACAATGTTACAGTTTTCAAAAAGAAAACTATATTATGTCTTGAAAACTCCATTAAAATATTGAATCATTATGAAATAAATAATTGAAAGTTAATACCAATACTTGCTTTAAAATACATTTTGAAAACATACTATATATGAAGAAAATGTCTTACCTTGTAGAGAGTTTCATCACTCATGCTGCGCTTTTTGTAAAGATACGCGACATCAGTTGAAGATTTATCCACAGAGCAGTAACCAAGTGAGAGTGGTTGATCATTGTCTAGCGAGGGTGAGCTTGCTTCTTTGAAGTCACAGCTAGATGTTGCTCTAACAGCTGCTGTGCAGGATTTTATGTCCTCATAATCATTGGTAAGAAATCCTTGGCTTGAAGAGAGGGACTTTGAGTGGGAGGTTTTTAAATCTAATAATTCTCTGAGGTTATTCTCATTATCATATATTTCTTGATGGTTACTGTTCACATCCCAAACATTCTTAAAGCCAGGTAAGATAATATGTCGGTGTATTTGCTCATTCAGTGAGCACCTCCTGTCTGCATGAAGTTTAGTCATGATGTCAGGAATGCTTGGGTTATTGGCATAATAATTAATATTTCCCTCCATTTCTGTGTATGGTGGAGGAGCAGGGGGTGGTTTCTTTGGCCTTCGTAGACTGTAGCGAATATGTGCTTGTCGTTGAAATTCTGATGTTATGGCTGCTTCCTCATCTTTCTCAGTACTAGAAAGAGGATCAACCATTGATGCTCTTTTGGCTTTGGTGATGATATGAGCAGGTTTAGGAGCAATGGATGGCTTTGAAATGTCTTTATTTGTCAAATCACTTTTACTTCTCACTGGTGGCTTAGGAGAAAATGTCTTAGTGTTCTTTTTCTTCTTCAGTGGAACAGCATAGATGGGTTGTGGAGGTGGTGTTGAAGATTTAGAATTTTCGTTAAGTTCACCAGTATCTTCTTCACTTTTTGGCGTTTTAACATTCTTATAAATGTCATAAGCGAAGGTTCTTGGTGGTTTTCTAGGAGGTGGACCTGCTGGTAAACACTCTGATTTTTCACTTTCAGTAGCTTCCAACAGGCTATCATTAGTGCCTTTCTCTCTGAGAAATTCTGTGGCTCTTGATGTAGCTATGCACTGTTTTTCTGACATATGGTTCTTGGTTGATACATCTATTTCTTTATTTTCTAACTGAACTGACTGTAACTCACTCCTGAATGCTATACTTTTCCCTGCATATTCACTTTTTATTTGGTCATTCATTGAATTAGGTAAAGGACTACGGGCTATTGCACATCTCTTACTTAAAGATGGTGAGCTACTGTCAGTTATTATTGGAGAATTCTCCCTGGTCTTCTCAAAAGAATGGGATGACAAAAGTGATTCAGATGATTTACTAAGATCTGGAGACTCTCTACACCTGTTTGCAATAAAATCTGGAGAAAGTCTATGTTCTAGGGACATTTCTGTATTGCTTATACATGAAGAATGCAAAAAATCATCAGTATTATAAGTGTTGACTACATATTTGTCACACATTGTTTTATTCCCTGACACTGGAGATGGTGAAGGCTGGCTTGGAGGTGAAGGGGCTTTTCCCTTTTTGTGGGTCAAGCCAGCTCCAGAAGACCTACGTCTTGGGGGTCGCGCAGGAGGAACAGCAAATGTGTTTCCACTGCATGACGAAGAAATACTCTGAACAGTATCTGAAGCTACTGTACCTGAGAGTTTGCGTGTAGCATCTGCAACAGCTTTTGCAACCGATACTGTTCCCAATGATGCTCCAGATTTATGCCCATTAGATCTTTGTTTATTGTCAATGTTTCGTTTATGCCCTCTATCTATCTTAGAATCTTTGGCATTTGTTTCAGCTTTTACCTGAAAATTGTCAGCTTTATCTGGTGAAGGAATTAGACCATTTCTTCTGTCTTTCGAACCTGGAGTTACCGATTTCTCCTTTTTATTTTTTATTTCCTTCTCGAATTTTGAAGAAAAACTTAACTTTCTGAATACTTTTGATCTTTCTTTGTTTTTCATATTTTTCACTACATTAGCCACAATTTTTTGTTTACCTTCAAATGTTGAATTACTTTTAGAATCTTGATTGTTTAACAAGTGATCACTACTTTTCACTTTCTTCTTTTGACTAAGCCAGTCTTTGTTTAATATGCTTTCCTTCTGCTTTATAATGCTGTCACTCTTCTTTTCAACACTTTGATCCCTTTTAATAATGAAACTTCCATGTGATCTGGAGCGAATGTGTCCAAAAAACCTTCCCCTCTTCTCATGACATTCAGTGATAGAATCGTCAACTTTTTCTTCTTCTTTACTGAACGTATTCTCAGAATTAAGTCCTGTGTCAACTGACTTAAAAACTGGTATCCTTCGGACAACACTGGGCTTTATCTCGGCACCACAGTTATCTAACATCTCACCGGCACTTTTATTCAGCAAGCCTCTTGAATGCATACCGAAAGGTCGTTTTTCTGACTGATATCTCCTTTGTGCTTGACTATCAACAGAATGCTTCCTTTGAGAAACATCCATAGTCATTTCTAAGCTAAGAAGGACTGGTGATATAATTTTGGATAATGAATCATTCTTGGGGTCTTTCACTTCGCCATTTTTTATACTGGAAATCATAAGATTTTGGTCTGGTTCATCCATCTCTGTGGTATGCACCAATTTCTGAGTCTTTGTTTCTTTGTCACATTTTGGTGTATCCTTACTAATGACTGAAGTGGTTCGTGTTCTAACTGGAGAAGTATTGATTTTCTGGGTGGGAGAATTTGCAGACGGAGATTCTTCATGTAGCTGCTCAAATCGTCCCCTCATTGCCTGTACACTTACTCTAGCTTCCACCTCCATTTTCTTAATGCTATCTGCAAAAAAAAAAAAAAAAGGAAAGTAAATTTTCATTCATTTAATGGGATGAATTTCTTAATTCATGTTTAGGCTTATATCCACTTCTATATCAAAGGAACTCACTCTCATATATATTAATATATATATATACACACATACGTGCAACAAGATCACAGTAAATAGGTGGTATTACAATATGCAAAAATAAAAAAGTGAAAAAATAGTGAACATCCAAGTGCTTCAGTGAAATCATGAAAGCCCTTGGATGTTCACTGTTTTTTTCACAGCATGTGTTCAAGGAAGGGAAAGCCTGTGTCACAAACCTATTAGAGTTTTATGACAAGGTAACAGAAGTAAAACAAAGGAGAGAGAGGGGGATGGGTAGATTGCATTTTCTTGGACTGCAAGAAGGCTTTTGAAACAGTTCTACAGAAGACATTTGTGCAAAAGCTAGAGGATCGGGCAGGCATAACAGGAAAGGCACTGCAGTGGATCAGAGAATACCTGACAGGGAGGCAACGAGTCATGGTACGTGATGAGGTGTCAAGAGTGGGCGCCTGTGATAAGTGGGGTTCCACAGGGATCAGTCCCAGGACAGGTGCTGTTTCTGGTATATGTGAATGATATAACAGAAGTGTCTCTGTTTGCAGATGATGTGAAGCTAATAAGGAGAATTCAACTGGATGAGGACTACAAAAGGATCTGGACAGGCTGCAAACCTGGTTTGCAACTGGCTTTTGGAGTTTAAATCCATCAAGTGCAAAGTCATGAAGATCAGGAAAGGGTAAAGAAGACTACTGACCGAGTACAGTTTAGAGGGCCGAAGACTACAAACTACAACACTGCACTAGCCAAGGAGTTGAACCCATGCTGTTTTGGCCTGCCTCATGCTGAGAGAAAACGCATGACGCTTTAGACCACACAATCCTTAACAATGGTGCATCCAGCCAAGCTGGAGGCGGGGCCGAAACAGCATGGGTTCGACTCCTTGGCTAGCGCAGTGTTGTTATTGATCAATACCACTTGTTCCATGGGTAGAATAATATAATATACTGCTTGTTGAGCTAGTACACAAACAGGGAGTCAAATGAAATTAGCTCAGAGGCGTCCACACCACCATATGTCCTTCGATGGTGGGTACAACATCTAGCTTGGTTGGATGCACCACTGTTATGGATTGTGTGGTCCAAAGTGTTGTGCATTTTCTTTCACCATGAAGCGGGCCAAAACAGCATGGGTTCGACTCCTTGGCTAGTGCAGTGTTATTGATCAATACCACTTGTTACATGGGTACAATAATATATACAGTGGACCCCCGCATAACGATTTTAATCCGTGCAAGAGGAGTAATTGTTATGCGAAATAATCGGTATGTGAATGAATTTTCCCCATAAGAAATAATGGAAATAAAATTAATCCGTGCAAGACACCCAAAAGTATGAAAAAAAAATTTTTTTACCACATGAAATGTTAATTTTAATACACACAAACTGAAAAAGGCATGCACACTTACATGACACTTACTTTTATTGAAGATCTGGTGATGATT